CATTTAAAGGTTAATGTCTGTCTTCCAGTCAGGGACCCTGTTCCATGATAGGAACTAAATCTTCTACCCACATCCTTGATGGGAGAGATCTCTCACCTACTTGTGTAGGCAACTGGCCTGAGTTCAAAAGATTTAGCAGACAGAATAGCAGCACTAATACTAATAAAATTGTGCAAGAGTAAGGAGAGAAAAAAAATCAGTAATCTGTTTTTCTCTATCCTTGGTTTAAGCTGGCTGTAAGGCACCCTAGAAAAAGACAGAGGCAAATTACATCACTGCATTTATTTGCAGGTGTAAGAGTTTGCAAGATCAGACCCTGCAGCAATACTCGCTCAATCCTGCACCCAAGTATTTTTCTTTTTTTTAATCCATACTTTATGTATATAAATTTAATTACCTGAATGTTTTTTCTTGGGTATTAAACATTTTTAAAAAGTTTATGGCCTTTATTTTACACTGATCAGTACACATTTTCCTATATACTTACTTGTGATTATCACTTGAAATAATGACAATTTAAAAAAAAAAAAAAAAATTAAAATCCTTTGGACTGAAGGCAGAATGGATGGAAAGAATGGATGCTATGCCGAGCTGATTAAGCTTAAACCCACTCTTTGGTGTATAAAAATTTGCACTAGGTGAAGATGCTGTTGTCATTAACTGTGAATTTGATTTTGTGTGTGTGTGTGTGTGTGTGCGTGCCTGAGATGATACAGAAATTCTATACCCATTCTGAACACCAGAAAAGGCTCAGGAAGTCTTGACAACTTTTTGTATCTTCTGTCCTGCTTCTGCTGTCCCTGGTCTATCCTAGACTTGGATTTAAACTTACATGCCAGTGTTTGGTTTTGAATCTGTTCTAAATTAGAAATGGCAGCCTACTCTGGGGCACATACTATGAACATGAATGTTTGTTTTGGGGAAGGAAAGCTGCATGATTAACAGTAGGTTTAGAATAAAATGTTCCTTTTTTGTTTTGTTTACAAATGATCAGGAATTTGGATTTGGTGGTAAATAATTTTAAGTGAAGAAATGAGACTGCTAAAAAAGCAGCATAATAATATGTCTGTAGAGCACTTTGAAGATGAAAAGCTCTATATACTGTAAACATTATTACTAGTATAGCTTAATCTGTGTGGAATAATGAATGTAGCATAAGCGAAATGTAGAATATTTTTTTTAATGTACAATATAGTGTTTCAGAAAGTCTAATGCACCTATGTATTTACTTTCACATTGTAACGCAAGAAATCCATCCTCTTATTTTTTTAGTATCTGTGTGTTGCAATGATTTAGTTTGTGGTGTTACTTTCCAAACATCGAGGCAGTCTAATCCAGAACAACCTGTCAGAAATATGAACTGTCTAGGCTGGGAGGAAAAATAGGTGTTCTTTTAAAGATGGTACAAAAATACCATGCAATGAGAAATAGGTGCCTGTCAGATATGGAAATGTTTGGGGTGCAGTTGGTCTTCTTAGGCTTGTACTGTGGCTTTGGAGAAGACTCGACTGAATTTCGTTACAGCGCCATGCAGGTGCCAGATTGTGCTGGGAAGCAAACACCTGCCAGGCCGCTCCAGATAACTCAGCAGCTCAGAGGCATTTTCCCAGGCTCCCAGATGAATGGTCCGTAATAGCCGTGGGAGAGGGCTTCCCACTGCTCCACGCTGTGCCACGGCCTCTGCTTGGCAGCCTTCTGGAAGCGCAAGTCAGGTTGGCTGTGACTCCTTTGGAAAACAAGTGTTGCTGGATAGTCTTACAGTAAAGAGTCAGTGTCTGATACTTCCTTCTGGTGTCGTGGGACTATGAAATATAACAACCAGAGCAAATTATCATTCCCTTAAAAGGCAGCACTCACTGGTGCGTATTTCAGCTGAAACTGAACTGTGGCTTTTCAAGAACCACTTTTATTCAGTCACATTTTGGGTTTCAGGGTCTATTTATTTTGCTGGGTTTGGGGTTTTTTATTTGGTGTGTTTTTTGGCTTTTTTTTTCTTGTTTGTTTTTTGGAACCTGGAGCTGATGATTTAGGTGCCCAGTTTTGAAGTAAGAAAAACAGAACTCCAAATCACTGACAACAATTTTATTTCTGCCTCCCTGTTGGTAATCTGTAAATGGAGCTTTGTTTACATTGCATGATGAAGAGGAAATTGAAGATTGGGCCAACCCTAAGATCTGTGACCCTGACAGATGATTGCTAACCCTAAGATCTGTGAACTTTCTCTCTATGTTACTGGCTGCAAAATACTGTATGTAGCTGGAGATTAAAACTTCTATGATGTCTTTAAAAGGAATTAGTGATGGATCATTTGGTAGCTATCAGTTGGTTCCTCCTTCCAGATAACATGAACAGTAGCTTTTGGTCCTTGCTGAGTATATACTGGCCCTCTTCCCTAGAGCATAATCCACAGCTTGCCCAAAGCCAACGTTAGTATGTGCTAGCATATAAACAGCATTGATGGTGGACAAGTGTGGAATTGAGAACAGACTTAGACCCATGCTGAGTAACTGTGTAGAAAGTTTAAAAAGCTGCAAGTTGTGTGAGGCTGTCGGATAAGAAGGTTTTCTTGTGGGGCTTATTTTTTAGTTTATTTCATGAAGCAGAGTGGTTAATTGGATAACATGTTTCTCTTGAAGGAAGCAGAAAGAGGATATCACAGTTTTTATAGTTCTGCAGTAACTCTGGCAACTTCAAAACTAGGGAAGTTTTGCAAACTCCAGCTGACAGTGGGTTAGATCAGATGTCACATACAAGAAGGTTTCAAAACATTTGATGAGCGTAGCTGTGTGATGCTTTCAGAATATGAGTATCTTGAATATAATGCATCTTTTTCTCACAGTTAGCAATAAGTAACAGCAAATCATCTGTTCAGGCTTTTTTTCAGCAAAGTGATGTAGTAAATAGTCATGGAAACTAAAATTATTTTCTAGTGTTAGTTCTTCTGGGCTGAGCTTATTAGCTCAGGTGCAACTCCCCATAAAGGTTTTCTAAGACTTTCAGACTTGAGCTGACACTGCAAAAATAGTGTAGAGGTGTCTTGATCTCTGATGTAATTATTTATTTTGTTAGATTTGAGGTAGGTGTTATCTTCCAGAGAATGGTAGTTAGCTGAATCAAGGCCTTTAAGAGGAATTTGAAACTTTGTTCAGGCCATTAGTCAATCAAATATGATTAAGCACTTAACCTCTCAGAGAATACCAGGATAGCAAGAAAAATAAACAGATGTACATGTCACTGATTCAATAGAAGAATTTCAGGAATGAAGTATCGTGCTTTTCCCTGTGAAAAGCAAAAGATTCCCACTTTTTCATTTTAAGTTCCTCTCAAGAAAAATACATTTGGAATATCCCAGACAAATGGAGGTAGAAAGACTCTTTTAATATTTATTCTCTGTTTGAAGATCTGCCTGCAAAGTTGTACCTTGAGGAATGTTACTTTTTCAGCATTACAGAGGTCACAGTGGAAGATGCTATTATCACACTAACAACTTATTTGTATACAGGGCAAGTTCTTTGATTTGGCTAACCCTACTAACAACGTTAGAATTGTCGATGCCAAACTGGAAATAGCTAGAAGTAATTTTCTTTAATTGTGCTCGTAAATATACAGTTAATAAATCTGGTGGATTACATCCAATTTTTTCTCTAGCGCTCATCATTTTTAAAGGTTTGTTCAACTTGTCACATCTTGACTTGATTTCTAAAGGGAAGTCAAAATTTAGGTATCTTCCTGAGGGGAAGGAAAAAAGATGGCTGATAAATTTCAAAGGGATTGATTATGATCAATAACTATAGTTCTTAATGAGCAGTGATGCTGAACCACACTTGATGGTGAGCTCCAGGAGATCTTGTACAAGTAGGGCAAGAGTTGTAGACTATGCAGGAGAGGACATGCATTTTGGGAGTTATACTTAGAAACAAGACATGCCTTGGCACTTGCTCAGTAGAGATTGAGACTGGAAGAAACAAGCTTTCCTTACTACTTTTTTAAATGGCTAGATTAGAAGAACAGCCGTAGCACTTAATTTTCTAACTTTTCTGTGGTAATTGCACTGTCTTGGAGCAGCAATAATTTAAGTCTTGCAAAACCACGTCAGAGTTAGGGGGAATACCACTAACCCTCTTTTGCCCATTCATTTTAGTGAGGCGTAGATAGAGACTACAAAGGGGTCACAGATGCTAACTTAGTTCCATTGCAGTGGGAGTTAGGTTGCTAAATACCTTTATGAATCAAGTCCTAACTGATTTACTCAGGGACATTTGGGAATTTAAGTAGAACAAAAGAAAAGCTGATTTCCTTAGCTGTAGTCTAATATTCTCTTTGTCATATCATCATCCTTTCTGTCCTTATGCTCTGACAAGATTTCTGTCATTCTCGGGAATAGAAACTGAAGAAGCCTCTGTGTATGTCACAGGTATCTGCTGGGACAGCCAGGCTAGCTCTGTCTACTTGTGGGTACTAAGGAGTTTAAATGTATGCATTTCTCACTTAATTCAGTGGAATTGTAGATAATTAAGACCTTTCATGTTGTTTGGTTTGGTTTTTTGGCTTGGTTTTTTTTTTTTTGTAGCCAGCATTTTCTATCAGCTTTGAGTATGTCACCTTTCTCTAGAAGGCAGTTAAGTAAGCGGTCATCTTTAGTGTTCTTATAGAATACATATGAAAACATCAGCCTATTGGACTAGTGACCATGACATGAGGCTATTAGGCAGTTGACATCTCTGATCAATGAATTGATTTAAATTTATTTCTGTGGTTGGATACCAGAACTTGGTGGTTAGTAATTTATTTAGATTTTTCATCAGTTTCAGATACTAATTTATTGAGATTTCAGTATGAATAGCTTCTTTTTAAAAATATTCCTTTAAAGGTACATTTTCTTTTCTATTCTTGAGCTGCTGCTACTTTCTCTCAATCCTGCCTTTGCAGATGTGCAACGCTTTGAGACCAGAAAGCCCAAGATACCCTTACACTTATTATCCTTTTGTTTTATGTTGCAGCCAACAGTTTTCACATTACTGCCTACTTTATGAAGAGATGGGTTAATCTCCGTTGTGCTGTAGGGAAACGTTATCGTGGTAAGAAATCAGTTTCTTATAGCATTACTTAGAATTTTGCATTTCTGGGAGAGAAAAAAGGAAACATAAACTAATATTTTGTCAACTTTTGGTCTATTTAATCAAAATTTCTTTCAGAGCCTGGGTTTGTTGGTTTGGTTTTTTTTCCCAGAGGATGTTTCCTTAAAAAAAAAAAAAAAAAAAAAAAAAAAGTGTTTGTTAACATATGATGGATTTTTTTTTTTTGACTTAATTTTAAATTTGTGTATGCCTTGCCCCAGGGTAATCAGCTAAGCCACACCAAATTCTGTGAGTATGATGAGACTCAGCATTTTACTGAGTCTCTGCAGGGTGAATCAACCAGAGGTTGCAGTATGAATCACTTCATTATTGCTCGAGTGTCTTGTGACATCAACTGTACAGTACAAGTGTATGCAAGAAAAGGCTCTCATTCACCTCAGTGCTATAAAATCTTTACATAGGTGATGTCATTGGACCAGATTTTTTTTCATGTTTTCTCAAGCCAGGATGCTCTGTAAGGAAGTGATATCAATCCTGTCCTGCCAACAGCAATAAAAAGGAGCTATAGCAATCGCTGCCCTTTGTGTAGCTTTTTGTATTAAAAAAAGCAAAATAAATCAACTAGGTGCTCTTAAAAATATTGGATACTTGAATGGGTATTTTAAAAGTATTTTTTATTTTTATAGAATTTCATTATGATCATGTATGTTTAAATGTCTCTTCAAACACTAACTAGTTGTTTTCTCAGTCCATATTTGTTGAAGAGTTTGGAGTGTTGATTTTAAATATTTCATCAAACTTGTCCTCCCAGCCTCCTGGAAGAATAGTTCAACTAGAATAGCAGAGCGTCTGCATTGGTATCTCAACATTGGTTTCTGTGTATTAAATGTGAACTTTTTTAAAGTATCAATGAATGCCTAAAGATACTTTCATTTTGTTAGCCAGCAAGTGAGATTGTTGTAACAGTAAAAACGTCTGACTGGAATGAACTTGCCCTGCTAGTGTTGCCAAAAAGAGAGACTCTGATGCTGCAGTCAAAACTTTGCTTGCACATGAAGTTCCTAACAAGAAAGGAACTTCGTTTTGCTGGGTTTCACTCCCAGTAAACAGCAAAATAAGCACATATCCTAAAAGAAGAAATAAACCGATGTTTCCTTTTTGCAAGATACACCTAGTACTTCACAAACAAAAAACAGATATTGAGCCTAAGAGAAGAATCATCTTGCATATTATAATTGGTAATGCTCACTCAATATCTAAAGTAAACTTACCTAAGAGGCTATTTATTGGAACTCTGCATATGCTTTTTCAACCAATGGCAAATGCAAGCTAATCTGTTTCAACATCCCCATCTTTCATTGTAATGACTCTAGAAAAGTCACTACTGGTACACACTGAGGGGTTTGTCAGATACCAATGGAGATACACTGTTGGTGAAGAAGCAGTACCTGGTAGAGAGGCACTAACCTATACGGATGACCTGATCGTCACTGACAAATTGTACACATCGTACCTATACTCAATTTGTTGTGAGGAGACGTTCTACCAAACCAAAAAAATCTATGAGGTCAATCTTGTGTTTTTTTCTGCATGCCTTGTCTCTTTCTTGTCCCAGAAAATAGGGTTTTTGAAGTATGACAACCCTTAAAAAATAGTAACTCTCTTTTAATAAAACCAAACTGAAAAGCAACAACGACAACAACAAAAAAGAGCTGAAAATATGGAGATAGTAATCTGGAAATAATCTGATATGTAAAATAACACAATATCTAGCTATGCTCTTTTCATAGCCTTGCTAGGTAATGAATAAAGTTTTGTCTGGTCTATTCTAATCTGAAAACCCTTAAATTTTTAATCCTTTGTAAATAGAAACTTTGTTGTGTTTATAACAAACCGTGTGATCTTGAGTAAAATATGTCATTTGATAGTAGTTAACCAATTTGTTTAATGACTTCAAAAATCACTGTAGTCAGAGTTTGAAACACTTAGCCTTATGCTGAGTTTTTATGCCAAGTCCTGATTGTATATGTTGTGCTTTATTACAAAATTACAAACATAATTCACAGCTTTTGTGATGAAAAGACTCATCACCAGAATAGTGCAAAAGAAATTATCATTAAGTGGTCTGTCTGTTGGTTCTGTCTGGTATATTTGTCCGGGAGTGCAGGTGGACTAATTTACAGCCATGACTATCCTCTTGGGAACTAAACTTACTCTGATTTATTGAGGTTTTTTTTTTTAATGGCTTGAAAAAGCAAAACAAAAGGAGGGATGGGATGTTGAAGAGAGTAGGTAAGAAACTAGTGGAGTGCATGAAGTCAGTTAGTGTGCAATTTAAAGATTTTGTTTATTAAAAACCCATGTGTATACGTTGTCATTATGTGTGGTTTCAAATATGGTTATAATTTTTGTAATCTTCTTTTCAATTATTTTTGTATAGAGCTACGTGTGTTTCCAGACAAATTTATAGTTTGTGTCAGTAAACTTGAATCTAATGCAACTTCATGGACATACGAAAATGGTGTATTGGTATGTACAAAACTGTTCTATACATTTCCTTTATTTTCTAGTTTATTTTATAGTGGTAAGATGAATCTATAGATGTAGTTATTCACATATTTGTGACTCACCTTGGAACCAGAAAGTCTCCTTAACAGTTGGGCCAGAGTGTTCAAAAAGACATCCTGAAGTGAGTCTGAAGCAGACAAAAATGGGAATTTTTGGAAACTCAGCCTTTTCTGAGCCCTATAAAGCTCAGAGAAGACAACTAAGTATTTAGAAAGCTACGTATTATTTTAGCACCTTGATTTTCATTATCCCTTTATATTTTGTCATTGTAACATTTTACTCTCCAAAATTATAATGGGGCAGTTACTAATGTCCATGTGTTTCTTGTACGTTTTCTTAGCACTTGTTCTGCAAAACAACTCGAATGGATCAGTGCTAGCCCTGCTGGGAAAAAAAATCCCCAAACATTTATGGAGAAAAAGGCACTGGTGTGTAGTTAAATGTCACAAACAATTTTACTTAAATATTTCATCCTGAAGGCTTTATCAGGGTCAAAGGCTTATGAATTTTATGCTGTGGTTAACTGCTGGTTGTCTCAGGAGGGCTCACATTGACCCAGGTGGCCTGCTATGTGGCAGGCAGTCTCTTCTGTGCTCACAGTAAGAGTCAGAATTACAAGCTGAGATCTGTGTATATTTTAGTATATCTTAGATGTATTAAAGTATATATGACCCTTGGAAAAAGAAGTTTTTCTTCTACTCATACAACTTAGTATTTTTTAATATCAAGCAGGGTGGTTTTATTTATTATGCTAAATGCAGAATTTATTGTCTTGATTCCTAGATTGGTAAGTATCCTTAAATGTCAAAGGATCAAGAAAATGTTTTTCTCTCTCTCAGAAAAAAAGATCTAACTGCTTTAGAAGTACATTGCTGTTTTGAAAATTATTACTTTCTCGATATTGTCTTGAAAACTACGTGGATGCTTTAAGCAGAAAATTCTGTCTGCATTTTGACTGAGAAATAATTATATTTTTTTCTTGCTTAAGTATTTCTTATGAGATATCCAATTCCCTCATTTGATATTTTTAATCTTTCCATAAAATAAAAGATGAGAAGTTTTCCTTAGTTTCTTTTGCATGATTCTGTCTAGTAAGGAGAATGCAAATGAAAAGCCTGATGTTACTAACTTTAGCTTGACTATTTCAAAATTTGATCAAGATCTGTGGAAACTCCTTTCTGTTTAAAAAGGGAGTTTAAATACTTTTATGTTTAAAAAAAAAAATCTTTTAATGGGATCGTAACCTAATCAATAATAAAGTTTTGGGAGTTTGATTTATTTACAGATGCAATACGTGTGCACAGAACTGGCGGAATGGTCAGTGTAGTACGTTGATAGGAGAGAGTAAGATAAAGTTATGCCTAAGCCATCTTCTCTGATTTGAAGAGCTAACAAGATGTGAACAGACCCTCAGCAAATGTTCTGGAATATCTTTTTAATTCTTACCACTCTAACTTAAAGGGTCCACTCCAGACTCCTTTGTTGATCCAGAATTTCTACACCACATTAGTACCGAATTTGTCATATACTCCAGTTCAGTACTTTGCCAAAGTGGGGGGAGTGTTTGATTGCCACTGAGAGGTAACTTCAAGTTTTTGGCACTTCAGAAGTAAAGAGTAGGGATCTGCACTTTGTGTGTGTACTTTTCTCTATGCAGTTTAGCAGTGAGTATGCTTGAACTCTAAACTAGACTATGAAAGACCACCCAGAAGACCTTTCCGTTGATATACTCCAGTGTATTCTGTCATGGGCTAAAAATGAGGCATATGTTTTGTTTTCCTCTGTGTGTTGTTTGGGTTTGAATAATTTCATAATGTTGCATGCAAGTTCTTTTAAATGTTTAGTCAGCTCACACCCTTAGTTTTGAGGGCCTATCTATGTTCTATAAAAGTAGTTGACTATATGTTAATGGAGACTTTGTCACTTTTCAGTGTTGCCGACTGTCACTGTGATTGACTTAGTCAAGACTTAACAATTTAAAAAAAAAAAAAAAAAAAAAAAAACCCAGCCTGCTTTTATGCTGGTTTATGGTTTGGGTCAAGCATTCATTCCTGAGCTCTGTCAAGCCAAGTCAGGCTCAATGCCCTGCTTTCCCATTACTTGGAACCAGTTTTGTGTCAGCCTGATACAGATTTCTTTCACTCGCTGTAACTCTCTTTTCTTACCTATCTTCTGCACTTTATTCTTTACCTTTTGACTGCCTTTTAAGGGCTATTCTCTGTATCTTTAAAATAGACTGTGCTTAAACCAAGAGTTTCAAGGGATGTGGCCACATAGGAAATTCAATTCTTATGTCCTGCTTCTTAAGAATGATCATAATTAGATTGCTTTTCAGATATTCACAAGAACAAACCTTAGCATCAATTGCTGAGAGAAGGAATATGAAGCCTTCTGTGATGCATTTTGTAAGACCAAGGAAAAGGTGGATTAGGCAGTTTCTGTCAAATTAGCTATAAGCATAAACTAATAAAAGATTTGAGAGCGCTTCTAAGGAGTAGAGCTGAAATAAAATAGAAGACAATCAATTGATATGTAATTTTCTATTTTCTAGAATCTATTTAGAAACGGGTATTTCTGTGGTCATATCTAAAAATTGGGCTGCAGGCAGTAATAAACATTTTGGAAGAAGGGAAATCTCTATTAAGTTATTGAAAATATATAAGCAAATTGGAAGTCTCAAGGAAAAGATGGAAGAATAGCCTGGCTGATTAACGCTAAGCTTAAACATAAAACCATTCTTTCCTGTTTTGCCAAACTGTGTTTGTAATCTTGAATAGTTTTATCTTGAAAGAGAAGACAGTTTTGGGAACATGGCAAAAGAGGAAACCCAGGGAAATACATAGGAGCTCTGGAGAGATTAGTCATCTTTGTCAATGACGACATTTTCTTGATGATTATTATGTAGAGCGCTAAAATGGAAAATTGGAAATAGGTTATCTGAAGAAACAGTGGAAATGGAAATGGGTGGAAGGCTTATTGGAGGCTTGTGAGCATTTGAAAATGTGCTAACAATGGAGCATTCATTGATAACCACTTTGGCTTTATTCTAGAATCTATGGAAAAAAAAAAAGCATGAAGGGAGGTTAAGCTAATGATGATATTAAAGTGGAAATTTGAAATTACTGTTCATGTGAAATCAGAAAAGAAAGTGGGGAGTAGGAGATCCTGTCTTGATTAAAAAGTTCTCAGGGTTTCCACTGAGCCTTGTTAAGTTACAGAAAATATTATATAAAAATAAAAATTCTTTTCCAAACAGCATATTATTCTTAAAAAAAACAGCCAAACAAAAAAACCCACATAGGTACACAAGGAGAAGAAAAGTGCTAAAGATGTGCCCAGTGCTTTTTAAATCCTCAACAGAGAAATAAAAGCAGACTATTTCACCTTCTTCATATATGTCTGATTTTATAAATTGTATCATTGTAACATACCCCAGGTGCATTAGAGAATTATCTATCTTAAAACTCCTAAGAGCATAAATGACATGATTTGCTTGGATTTTGATTATGCTGGGAAGAGGCTTCTGGTTCTTTCATGAAAATATGTACACTTCACTGTAATTAACAGGAGACTTTCAACATTAGATTATATGCTGCTGGAGGTGTGTCTATAGGAAGGTAGAATGAAAACTTTTTTCAGATAGCAGCAATTTGTAAAGATTAGTAGAAGACTTTATGTGGAATTTAGTTATCTTAAATACCTTAAAGACTGTTAGACTGAATTAGTTCATTGACTTAATCCAGCAGGAAACTATTGTGAAGTTTCTCTGTTTTTTACTGGAGGATTAGTTTTCTGTCATGTCAATTCACTGAATCAACTCGTCCTGTATCTACACAGTTGCCAATTGTGACAAAAAAATGTTGCAGGAGCACGCAGCCAGGATTTGGATGAAGAGAGCAGGACCCACCCCTTGAGGTAGCAGCTGATAGTTACCCTGCTTTGGAAGTGACATCCAAACCACACATTAATGTTACATTTGTTGTCATACTTGTCTTGTTGATGGGCTTCGATTTCATTATCCTTTTTTAAATTTCATAAAATCTATTTTTCATGTGTTTTCAGATAATATGCTTAATTCTTTTCGGTCATTGTGGGAAACTTAGCTAGAGGAAAACAGTATTAAGCTGCAGTTTGGTAACTGTATGAACAAGGTTCACTACTTTTTTCAAAAAAGTAGGGAGGGGAAACTGCAGACTAATGAACTCTACCCAAACACCACATAGTGGAACAGGTAAAGAATTGCTTTTCTCTTGGTGAGTTTTCACTTTTAACACTTCAAGCTTCTGTCACTTTTTCTACTCATCCTTCATACTCTGCTGAAGCTGATGCAAGACTGATGATACTGAAGCATGCAGTCTCTCCTGCCTTCTCTTCTCTTCTCTTACCTGCGTATTCTTGTCCTCAGCGTCTGTCAGTACTGGTGTGTGTGGGGAGCTGGGTTAATTCCTTGATCCCCCTGAAAACAAGGGGAGGGGTTTGTTGTCTGCATGGTTAGCTTTCAGCTGGATCACTTTGATCAGGCTCTCACTGCGTGGCTGCTATCAACGCTGGTGTTGATACAGAGGCTTGGCAGGACCTTGTGTTGGGTAAGGGTGAAACTTCGCTTTCAATGTTAGGATAGCTTTAAATTAGCTAGAATCACGGGACTGCGCTCTCTGAGAAACTACATCACAAAGTAATGATACTAGTGTCTTTGACTTGGTCGTAAAGAAGCAAGCTACAGCAGTTTTACAGTATTCTCTTTTGTCCCAGCTGTCTGCCTCTTCTCCTTGGAGATTTTACCACTCCTACAAGCAGAGTTTGCCAAAAGGGCTGTGTGCCTGCATCTCATCTTGCTGCGTATCACAGTCTTGTGGATTCATGCAAACCAAACTTTCCCGGTTTCTAAGCTAGCGCATTGAGTTGTGAGTGGGAGCAGCTGGGGCATGTGTGTGTGTTTCCTTCTGCCAACCCTGCAGTGG